AACAGGCTCAATGATTAATTACATGGACAATTGTGGGTGTGGTGTACATTTTGTAACCATTCTGTGGTATATATCTTGTGTGATGTAAGAATGTTAACACTGTTATAATCTTTTTTTAGTATAATATGTGTGTGCGTAGAAGTGAATCATTTACTGCTTGCAAACCAATGATGTAAGATGATGTCATGGGGTAGGACTGGATAAGTCTGACTTCTTCCTACTCCATTCAAGCATGTACTAGGCATAAGCAAATTGATATTGGATTATGTGTAAAATTATGTGTGTTGTCATATCAATTGTTTTACATGCTTGAAAGAATAAATAAATCAATCAATCAATCAAAGTTTACATTTTTGCAGGATAGTCTCCAATTTTCATTTAAGCAATTATTTAGTATTCTGCTGTGCAATGAGCCTCACAGCTTCACATGGTACTGGTGAGGCCTTTTTAATATTCATGTGTACGGTCAAGAGGATGCAGAACTTAGCTTAGCACAGCGAGGTCCTGTTTCAGATGCAGCAGGTTGTGTGAACAGCGACTGAACTGACCTGAGAACGTCGTAGCCCAGAAACTCAAAGAGCCGACACATGCTCTCACCGATGATGGTGGAGCGCAGGTGACCCACGTGCATCTCTTTGGCAATGTTAGGAGAGGAAAAATCCACCACCACCTGTGCAACACACACACACACATAAGAGAACTACTTATAACAATAATAATTATACAGCAAATATCTTTAATCCTATCGGACTCAAAGTTCACCCAAAAATCAGGACCAAGGTTTCATTCTCAAAAATACAATTTAAAGCTAGTTAGCCGTCCTTAGGTCTGTTCTGCAAGTCTTCCACCCTCTACCTCAGCAGAATCTCATGTTGGCTTAAAACCTCAATATGTCTGCATGAAACACTAAAGCTACCCAAGAATTCACAAGCAGGTAAAGACTGTATAAAGGTATGAAAAAACTAAACATAATGTTGTGTTGCTGATTTTTCATTTTGTGACCCTGTTGAGTGTTGTGACCCACAGCTTGGAAACCACTTCCCTATTTCTCATAAACTCACTGACAGTGTGTGCACTTTTTCACGTTTCAATCTGCTCTGTGAATAACTGTTTTATTGCTTTGACACCCCAACAGATCAACAGTAACCTGTACTGAAGCTGAAATATTTAACTTCTGATGATGTAACGTAATTAAAAATATCTGTATGTGCGGGAGTGTGAGGGACCTTCTTCCTGGAGGCCAGTGGGGGAGGCTGGACCCCATTGATCAGCAGGTTACTCAACAGTCTGGACACAAACGTTTTCTTCAGGTGGATGTTGATGAACCCTGACAAAGAGAATAGAGCGATACTAGAGATGCTGATCTGTCACTTCACAAAGGTTTTATTTTGCAACTAAAATGTGTATGTGGTAACAAAGTAGTGCAGGAAGCAGCAAGAGACAGATGGCTAGCGGCCCTCTACAGTGCCGTGTCCTCAGGTTCCCCACCCTGTGCTTCTATACCTGGTCCTGCGATTTCCGTTTTCTGGATGAGTTCGTTGTCTGGAATGTTCTGGATGATCTTCTCTGCAATTTCCCTCGGGTTGGCTTTAATCCCTTTTCCTTTCAGCATCTGCAGCACAACAAAGTCAGAGACAGTCTGCCTTAAAATGTGTTAAATGAAACTTCTTCTGACCTGTCAGACTGCTACTTCACAATAAAAGCCTTCCAGCAGCCTTAGTAATTTTATGATTTCCTGTTATAGATTTTCACTGTTGACTGAACTTGCAGTGTTAGTGCTGATTCAACAATTTGCTGCTACAACACAATAAACGAAATGCTGCTCTGCTCCAGTGAAAAGCCTCTACAGATGATTTGTGCAGCTGCACTCGGAATTCTTACATTTAGCAATGACTTATGCCTTTCTGAGCACAGGCCTGTGTTATGCCTGGAAAGGAAAGTTACTGGACAGGACAAGGACTAAAAACAGTGTTTTCAAAGCCTTGAAACGTGGCTCTCATTCTTAAAGTTGTAGTTGTTTTATTTTCAGATTTAAAATATAATTAAAGATATTTAAACAACTTGACTATCTGTAGACTTACTGAAAAGTACATTTAACCCCAGTTTAAAAGTAAAAGACTGTGGGGCACAGACAAACACGGCAGCCTACCTGGGCCATGGCCATGGCACTGTTGCACTGGTAGTCTCCGAACTTGGCCTGCTGGTTGGGTGTGACGGATAATGGAGGGTTGTCCAGCTCAGGACAAGAAGCCCGGATGGCCTCACCAAAAATCCCCTGAAGCTGCTGGTTGATGTTCATCATGGATTTACTGCAGTGAATCTTCTCCTCCTGCAGATTCTAAGGAGACACGACATGTCTGAGTCACTACTGGAAACTTAATGCTGAGGCATGAAGCACAGTAGAAACAGAGAGATGATTGATTTTACTCCATGGAAAATCAGCGAATCTGTGCTGAAATGGAATGAAATAGTGCAGAATAATAAGATAATAAGTTATATGAGTTAACAGTTCAAAGAATGTGAATAGTGCAAAGATAAATATACACTATCTGCATGTGTACATGTACAGTAAAAATGTGTCACTCTGAGAATTTTTGCCCAGTTCAGAGTGACATCCTACTCTGAGGTCCTTAATGAAGCTTTGTCTCTCAGGACAAAGCAGAGTTGCACCTATACTCAGAGCAGAGTGCGCCCCCTGCTGGCCTCTGCAGGGTCACTCACCCTCTTGAGGATGTTGAGGCGATATTTCAGTTTGGCATTTTCCTCCCGCAGCTCATCCAGATGTGGGGATAGACTCAGGCTCTGTGGATCCTTTAGACTTTCAATCTCTGCAGAAAGACTCTGGATTTCCTGCTCCTGAAAAAAGTATTTTTAGTATAAAGTGAACGCATAGCATTCACTGACTTGCATCTTGGCAGATGGAATAGACCAGTAAGCTGGAAGCTTCTGCGGTTGTGTAGGCTGCATGACAGAACCCTTAATGGTGCTAATCTGACAACATATAAACAAAAATAAAACCAAATCCCCCAAATTATGGTAACAGCACATCTAAGACTTAAAGCTTAAATGTCTTCCAACCAGAACCGGGTGAAAGAATAATAACGGGTGTGACAAAGCCATCACTATTTAATGTTGCACTATTAATATTGCTACATTACTGAGGCTCAACATTGATTTTGCCTGATGGGCAGGGACTGTAAAAAACCCTGTCAGTCAATAAACTACGTCACCACATTTAAAGCAGCTGTAACTGTACTGTGCTGTTATAGAAGCAAATTCCAAGTGAGATAAAATATTTCGTTTTTTCACTCTGTGATGAATCTGAAACAACCCTTCCGCCTGAAAAGATGAGTAAACTGAGTGTAAATGTGTTAAACCACCATCTGATGATAAATAAAGTTGGATTAATCAAAATGAAACCAAAAGTGGTAAACTCATTGTCAGTACAAGGTGCAGGTCCTGCACACATTTTCCAGTCAACAAAATATACAGTATATATAGATTAAATTTGTTTATTTATTTGAGTTTAAACATTACATCATTGGACAAAACAAGCTGTCTGAATGTCACAGTGGTCTGGAAGAAACTATAATGACCATTTTCACTGTTTTCGAGTATTTTGAGCAAAAATAAATAATTATTGATAAAATAAATTAAATGATAATTGTAAAAAAAAAAAAACACTTGCTGCAATATCAAGTCATGTCTAAATTTTGTTCTGTCAGTTAGTTATTTTAACTGATAACCAGCACAATAAATTGTTAATTTCTTTAGTAAAGTTGACTTGTGACGACTCGTCGGTGTGTATCTATCTGACCGACTCCGCTGGTCTCGCACATATTTAGCCTCCTAGCTAGTCTTAGCTACTTTTCCCACGAAGCCGCGGCTGACCTGTTGTTGCAGTCGAGCTGTGTACTCGGTCATAGGGTCTCCCATTTTTCTGAAGCACCGAACAGAAACTCTTCAATCGCCTGAGTGTAGAATCTTGAGGATGACGAAACAACCGGAGAGGAAGAACTCCACAACTTTCAAATGTGTATCCGGTGCCACAAACGTCTTCTTCTTGTGTTTTTTGGCAGCTCATAAACCGCTTTCAAAGAGTGCAGACCGCCACCTAGTGTATGAGTGTGTAACGTCATGGCTTAAATCATCTAAATGTGATCCTTTAACCCAGCAAAGGTGGAGGAAACATTCAGATCATTTAATAAAGACCAACAACAACAATAATAATTTACTAGGATTATAAGAGAGAAGTATGTACATGTAATCAGGAAAAGGTCAGAGAATCAAATATCACAGGGGAGATTTTACTGCAGAATCACTGCTTTTACTTTGAGTACATTTACTAATACTTTTCCTGATCTAAAGTTAAACAGCTGGAGGTGAAATTTATTACTGGAGATGATTCACATGAACCTGAATCCTGCATGTATGAATATAAAATCTACTAAAAGTCTCGACTGCATTTGTTTGTGTCAAATGTCTTTTCATTTTCCAACAATCCTGAAAAAAAAAAAAACATGTTACCCATTCATACTGTCAGGTAAAAAGGAAAAGCAACACAAACAGCCAGTTGGAAAGAAAAACACATCCAAATAGAAGAGAATGTTTTTTTATTTGTTGTGAAACTACAAAACATATTGTTTGTTTTTTTTGTGCTGGTGAAATATTTACAACTCTGGTCGACAGTACAGTGTCTGAGAATAAAATTCACAGCTTTTCGGGATCCTGGCGGTAAAAAGAAAAACAGAAGAAGCACACCCAAATCACAAAAGTGCAATAAATACATGCTGTATGTTTCTCATAGCCGCCTCCATACACACGAGCAGGTTCATCACCAGTCGCTATACAAACAGACTCACTAGAAGAAAAAAAAAAACAATAATCAAATGAGGGAAAAATGCAGTTCAAGAAAATAAAAATAAAAAATTATGTGACAACCTAGAGGGTGAAAAAAAATCATGTGTGACAAACAGCATTTGTTTTTCCTCTGAATGATCGAGACTCCTCGCAGCACATCCACATCCCTCCATCCAGATGTTCTGTTTTTATTGTAATGGTTAACATTCGGTCGATGATGACAAAGCTCAGTGGGCTTTATAAAAGACAGTACTGTTGCTCAGGCTATGCAGAGTCCTCATATTTACCTTGACTGTTCCACACTGTAGGAACACAACAAACATCTCACACCTGGAGAATGAATGCAAACGATGGCGGCCGCAGACAACCACAAAAAGTTGATGTGGTGCTCTCCAAGGGCTTTCATTCATTTCACATTGTTCCTACTACAGTAAAACCCTCAGTCACGTCAGAGTGCACAGCTGCATTCACACCGTCCCTCCCTGCCCCCACGTCACATGACAGAATGCACAATAAAGATCACATGTAAGAGCAATGTTTTAGATTCTTACTGTTAGACAGTGTGACCTCAGTCTGAACAGTTTGTCATAACATCTCAAACAATGACACCAATGTCTGTTCTGTTTGGGGCCAGTAAACATGGACTAAAACTAATTTGAATAACCTAGGTGAAAACTGACTCCATGTGCTTTTTGAACACTCATTTACCTGGAACATTATTCTAAGCAAGCAAACAGTTGACAGTTTTAAAGACACATTTAAATGAACTTGAATGGGGCACTAAGTCAAGTCCCTGGTTCAAGTGACCCCACATCTCTCTTTTCCCTTGTTTGCAGTCTTCTCTCTGCTGTCAGTCACAGAATAAAGGCATCAAATGCCCCAAAAGCAGCAGCTCTAATGAGCTAGAATAGCTGCAGATACTGTACATAATGTGAGGAGCTGATGCTTTTCTTTGTCAGACATAAGAATAATTTGGATAAGGGCTCGCTGTGACTATTAGTTATATTCTTGTTTGACCACAGACAGCAGAGAGACAGACAGGAAACATGGAGAGAAAAAGGGGAACGATGCATCACGATGTCACTGATCAGAATCAAACCAGGGATACTGCAGGTACAGTTATTATTTTACTGGCTCCATGTCCGTAGTAAAATAATAACTGTACCTGTAGTTATTATTTTACTGGCTCCATGTCTGTAGTAAAAGAGCCAGAATTCACAGAGAAGAATAATTTTCACCTGCTGTCACAGGCTGAGTGTTAAAAAGCCACAATGCATACATCATAACTATTACAAAGAATACATAGAATACACTGCTGGTTAGTTTCTGTTTGTGTGCGTCTTCTGAGCATCTGGCTCCTGCAGTGTGAACGTCCTCACAGCATCTGATTCGGTTCCCATCGAGTCTCACCCTCTTTCCATCTTTTTCTAAACAATGAACAATTAGTCATAGTGCTGATTTGGGATATGTATTATTCTCACAGACACTCGTGTAAAATATTCCTATTGAAAACCTGAATGTTTTGTGATTATCATTTCTTTTATTTTAAATATTTACAGCATTTATTTATCAGAAAATAAAACCTATTTTAATTTTTGGGACTTTTCCCTGGAGGATTGGGGAGTGGTGTGGGAAAGGGAACAGGACGTTCAGACAGCTAATAAAGAAAAGCAGGTCAATCTAATCCTCCTCAGCTGGTCTTAAACGTACTGAAGAAACACAAACAACACGGCCGAGAGGCAGAAACAAAAAAGGTCGACTCTCCTGGATTGGCTCCAAAGTTCAAGCATCTTTAAAAGCTGCTGTTTATCTACAAGCAGGTAAACAAGGGAAGCAGCTGCAGTTCTGCAGCTACTTTCCTGTTTACACTGAGGACAGAAAGCTGATGACTGGATGATCATGAAGGATTTGTGCCAAGCGGCGGAGGTACCAGAACAATCGGCGTGGTGACCCAGCATGAACCGAACCACGACACTGAGTGACAACCAGGTAACTGATCAGAGTCAGTACATTCTTTCCCCTGCTCCTGTGAATGAAAACATTTGCCTCCCTGATGGATTTCTCACTGTATCACAGGCCAAAGTCAGGCAAAAACGGCAACATCAGAAAAAAGCCCTCCCTCCTTCTGAGGCTCCGACACCTGATACTTATTATTATAGCTGCTTCAAAAGGTTCAACATAAAATCAGATGTTCTATGTGAGTCCAGTTATCAGCATCTTCAAACATGTGGTGTATCATCCAAATCAAACTGTGAAGGGAGAAACTGCTTTAACACAGGTGAGATGCTAGTAAAAGCCCCAGCAAGGACAACAGCTACACACACAAGCACACACCCTCCCACTCCAGTAAAACAGCAGATGCGCTGTCAGACGCGTCTTCGCTGAGCTGCCACAGCACACACAGCTCGCTTACAGCTACACAGCCATGTCTGTGGTGTACAGCTCGTGTCACCTCTGCAGCAGTGGGAGTGAACCAAAACAGTGATGTCGTGGTCCAGACAGAGGAACGAGCTGAAGGAAGCTGCAGGCCATTTAACCCAGTGTTAATACAACACTGACAGAGGAGGTAAAAGTACACAAACTCAAGTACACGTTTAAGTACTTGCCAAAATAGGTACTGCACTACATGTAGAAGTGCTACTACAAATTCCTTACTCAGGTTGTGTGTGGCTCCTCTGAGGCTAACCTGGCTGCAGATGGTCCAGTTATAAGACTCTGACACATGTCTGAAACATCCAATTACGGAGCAGAAACAGGGAAAACTAAACCTACAAACACTTTCATCAAGGCAGAAAACATTTTAACCAGCCAATCAAAATGAAGCTCAGAAGGCTTCAGAAACACAGCGGAACATCCGTCTCCCCATTGGCTGCTGGTCGAGGGGACTTAGTTGCTTCCAGTCTAACAGTTACACAAAGTTCACAGTCATCAGAAAAACACTTGATTTTCACTTCCCGTGTGTGTCGACATTCATCATGTGCTTCAACAATCAACAATCGTTCCAGTGTGGGGCAAACCTTTCTGGATATGTTTTGCTAACATTAAAAAAAACTCTCACTTCAAGTTTCTTAAGGTGCAGACTATCCAATCAACTACCTGAGTATTAGTGTAGTTTCTACACCGTGCTGAGAGTGTGCACGTGTGTGGCTGGTGAGATAAACCTAAAATGAGACAAGCCTCGCCTCAGAGTTGCTGATGGAAAAAATAAATGATCCAGTTCACTTAGTGCTGTTTGTAAAGCAAAGACACAGTTCAGTTTTCACGTCGTGTGATGACACACCCCAGAGCCGAAACAGAGGCATGCTAATGATGCTTATGTACAGCAATCTGTGCTGGTAACGCTGTGTACATCAGTCAAGCGTCAGGGCAGAGCAACATGCTTATTTTACATAACAAAAAATAATAATAATAATAATTGGTTGTGTTTGATTTGGTTATAATCCTTAAGAATTTACTCCTGTGGCAACTGGTGGCAACGGCATGTGTGTTTTAAAGACAGATCAGATGGAAATGCCACGTATCAGCCACTGGGGGGCAGCAAACACTGTCTGAGCGCCTATCTGTCAGAAACAACAGAAGAACAACAGCCGGGTTATGTGTTTGCAGATACAGCTCATCTGATCATAAAGAAGACAGAAAACATATTTTTAAGTTTTAATTTACCGATATCCTCAGTGTTCCTCTATTGACACACACCACACTGGCCCTCACGGGCAGAGAGCAGCAGTGAAGCTCAGGAAACCGTTCTAAAGTTTTCAGGCTGACTGGCAAGACTGTGGAACAGTCTAAAAACCTTAGGGTAGTGTTGATTTTATGCCTCTTAAGGCTGATTATTGTACCACAAAATGTCACTGGTTCTCACCAGACTATACGTAAAACTAAAAAGCACAGATACTGCTCTTTCACCCCAGCTAGCCTTCACCAGAACTGACTGCCATTTTACTCATATCGCTCGACCTATCGATCGATGTCTACTCTAAAAATGTTGCCATAAATGGTATAAAAATAGGATTTGATGAATAAAAATCTTAAGGATTATACCTATGAGGAGACTTGTCTCACCGTCTCCTCTTCTCAAACACAAACGGTGATATTTTAACACGCTGTTCACCAAGAACCAAGAAGTCTTTACTACTGTCTGTAGAGGAAATTACATTAAACAAAATTTTAAATGCTGTGTGTGCTTGTATGTTTGTCTTTACATATAAAGTTTGCACTAAAAACACATTACTTGAAGGGTAATAAACATCTCATAAGAGCAGCTGTTTGCTTTTGATTTATCACAAGGATAATTTGTTTTTCTCTTTTCTAGTACCACCATTTGATTTTATTTTGTGCTATACATATTTCTTTTTTGTTCGAGTGTGTCATTTTGGTACATGACTGCAGCTGTGTTGCTTTGTGCTGGAATGATTTTAAATACCCAAGAGCCTATAAACAGTCTGTTATTAACAAACACATGAACAGAGTGGAAAAGAAAGTGAAGCTCGAGCAGTGCTATCACTAATTTACAGAGACTATCCACATTAGAGATGCTGAGCTCTTTAAAAATGTTTCTTCATAATTTTGATTTTTTTTTTTTTACACGACTAAACGTATTATTATTTTCTTAAAATTCTTCATAATACCGCCAGAGGTTTGCTTCATTCGTGCGGGAACAGCAGGTTAAGACTCGGGTCTTAAGGGTGGAGGTGGGGGTGGTGGGAGGATACTTTGAAATGTTTCTCTACACGTCATCAGCTGGCAGGTCGGGGATGCTGGCCTTCGCTCGTGTGAAGAACGCCATCTTCTCTCTGAAATCACACAGGACACAGTCAGAGCAGCACGACAACGGTTCCCTGTCCAACTCTTATCAGAATCACTCCTGGGAATCTTGTTGAAAGTGAATCTGCTGTAGGGCTGAAAACGATCCTGCTCCTCCCAAAGCCGGACCTGGGACTGACTCAAACTATCCTTAGATCTACAGTAGGACTATAAATGCAACACAGAATTTTTGACCAGTTAAGTCTGAACTCCAACTCAGAGACAGTGATACAGAGCAGTTGTTTCTCCCACCTGAAGTTCTGGAGCACAGGAACCTCTTTGTGGCTCTGGCCCTGGATCTTGTGAACATCCTTTCTCATCATCTTTTCCACCCCCTCCTCCTGCAGCTGCTCCTGCCGTGTCTGAACAGGACGATGAACAGAGAGATGTTCAGTTCAGAGGAAGAACAGGCATGCTAAACATTGCTCTGTAGATGAAAAGCACAGCTCCATCTGGCAGGTTACTGACGGCTGAATCTGGTGGTAAAAACACTGGAAAACAGAACCGAACACCTCAGCGCTGTAGGAGGGTCACTCACCTGTTTCTCAGCCTGCTTGAGCAGCAGGCGGAAGCGCTCGTCTTCCTGGACCCAGGCGGGCAGCTCTCTCTGGCCCTGCTGCCTCGCATTCTCCAGCTGAGCCTTCAGCTCCCGCAGCACACGCAGCTCCTGCGTCAGCCGGGACTGCCGCATCCGGGACACCTGTAGGTCCAACTCCAGGTCCAGGGAAGTCCGAAGCAGACCGTCAAGACCCTTAACCTGCCCAGGAGGCTGAGGAGAGGACGGGCAAGGACACCGCTAAGCATTGTGACAAACATTTATTTTTATTTTCAACTAATCTATTGAATGTTTTCTCAGTTAATCGTTTAGTCTATAAATTGTCAAGATCCCAGAATACAACCAATCTGAAGAGTTCACATTGGTCTTTACTGACATTTTATAGACCAAATAATTAATTCAGAAGAGTCACCAGATTAATCAGTAATGAAAACTACTGATGCCAAATATCATGCGAGTATTGCAGCTCTAACACACTCCTGCCGTTTGCACAGAGCTATGCAACAGCATTGTTTTCCTGTTCTAAGAAGAACTTAGAAGATGCCTAAGTCTACAGTGACACCTTGAGATGTGTGAAAATACTGTCGCCAACATTGTGTGTGTTTGTGAGAGAGAGAGAGAGAGAGAGAGAATCTCCCGCTGCTGTTGAGCCCCAGGAGGGACAATGAGGTGGATTCTGTTGCCTGTCTCTAAATTAACAGAAGCTGGAAAATGTCAGGGCGGCATTAAACTTTGAGATGGTTATTAAAATAGGAATCACTTCAGAATGAGTCGCGGGGGGGGAACTGCAAAAAAGTTCTCCGTCTCTCCCCCCTGAGCAGGATGGAGAAGGCAGGTAATGACACAGAGAAACTAGGGCAGACTAGACTAGTGTAATGCTCTGCTAGCTGCTCCCAAATCAGTTCTAAAGTCAGTTATAACCGATTCAATATTCCACTCCCCAAGCACACAAGAGCTCTGTCTTAATATCAGCGTGTCAGCTGTAAAGCACTTTGAATTCCAAGAAAGGAAACCGAAATAGCACCAGAAACGTTTTCCACTTGGCTAAGGTGGAAACGTTGGTATATTGAGAAAAGCCAAATGCAACCAAGCCAAGTCAAACTGTATTTGTATAACCCAATATCACAAATCTGCCTCAGGGGGCCTTAGAATCCGTACAGCATATGACACCCACAGGAGTGAAATCTTAAGGATTATAACTAAATCAAACATACGACCCTTGAACTGGAGAAGGACATCTCTCCAAAAAATTTTAATTGGTGAAACAAATAGAAAAAACCTCAGAAGGAGCAACAAAGGAGAGACCCTTCTCCCAGGAAGAGCAGACAGGAAATAGATTGGAAATAGTCTTAGTAAATAATGCACGACACACATGAAGCGTGTGACTTAAATGTCCACTGGAGCTCCCACTCCAGTGGGGAGAGATGAAAACCAGTGGCAAACAGAAACTTCAGATGAGAAAATGTGAAACAAACAGAAACTCCATCATGGTTTCTGTATTGTTTACTAATGTTTGAGCACTGACTGGAGCTCTTTTAATCAACAAACCCCTAGATTAATATTTTCTTTTGCTGATCTTTTGACAGTTTGGTTGATACTGGGAGACAGGAATAACTAAGTTGCTCATACTTTCTTCATGCGCATGCTGCGTCTCTCTGAGGCATTTCTGATGAACGGAGACTTCTTAGAGAGGGTGGAGCTGTCACTGTCACTGCGGTTAATCTGGAAAACAAAGAACAGTGTGGACTGATGAAATGAATCGCTCTGTTTTTCAGGAGGACAGACACGTGCTGATGTGCGCTGTACTGTGGTATTTCTGCTGTCAGTTACCCTGCAGATGTACTGGCTCTGAGGTCCAGGGGAGAAGGTCTTGGAGCGATGGATGATGGTGTTCCCTCTCATAAAAGGGTTCTGCTGGTGGAAGTCTGGGTGGCGCTCCTTGGGTCGAACTACAGAGCAGTGGTGGGATGGCGACAACAAGCCGTCCATACTGGTCTCCTTGTTCACCTGGAATAATACAGAGAAGACGTAGAAAGGTTAGAGCCGGGTTTTAGCAGCTTAATTTGGAGACTTAGTAACAGCCGTTTAATGTCAAGAACGGAAAATGAGATCAACTTTAACCCTTTAAGAAAATGTGAAAGTGAAAGTTCTAGGCAGAAGAACACGCAAAAAGCAGTTTTTAGACTTCCAAGACTGAAACTTAAAATGCTTTATTTAACTCAAATAAAGGCCATTTAAAGCATCAGTGTCTGAAAACCTTTCACTCATTTTTTGGGTAGTTACCTTCTCTGTGATAGCTACTGCTGCTGGAGGGCGTTTGGTCACCTGCTCCTCCTCTGCTTCCCACTGGCTGCTGTCAGGATAAAATTCGTCCTCTTCCTCCTCCCCCTCCAAGCCATCTTCATTGTCAAATACATCTGGGTCCAGCAGGTCGCCGTGCCTAACAGTCAGCAAGAGAGACACAGTTAGAAAAGGGGCAAGACAAAAATAAGATGAGCTTATTCTTATCCCTCTGTCTTATTATTGTTTAGTTAGAGGGGAAATCTTTCTTTAGTCTACCTACAAGCAAATCTGAACTCACAGATGCTGCTTTATCAGCTGATACACAATGAAGCAGATGTGTTATGTACAAGTACTTCATCAGTGTATGCAAGTACTGCTACTTGAGGAAAAGTTCAGTCATTTTCTACAACAGAAAGTAAAACGTTCCGTACAAAGGAATACAGCAAGTAAAATAGGCTATTGGTCAGTTACAGCTGCTGTTTCAGACTTGAACTCTCTGGCTGCTGGAAAAATTATCCTTGTATGTCATGTTCAGATTCCCTCAAAATCCATAAACTGATAGTTAACAAAAAACAAATGTTGCTGATGTAGGATTGAATAAAAAAGACGAAGACAGAGCTAAAACGAGAGGGAAAGAAATGGTTTAAAAAACATGGGTGAAAGAGGGAAGCAATGAAAACACTCACCACTCATCGTCCTCTGGAGCTCCGACTCTGCTGCTGCTGGAAACAAGAGTCTGGAACATGAAACACATATATCAGGACCAGACAGATCAGCACTTCTTTGTTTACCTTTTGGACTGTAGTCGCTTTTTAACTGTCAACATGTCAACATGTCAGTCAAACAAATAAACTTGTTCTAAACTGTTTTAAGATCTAAGCTGTTGTGAGCACTAGTTTCCACTGTGAGAGTCAAAGTGTAAGTAAGTTTTTTTTAACATTCAGCCTGGGACAGCAGGTGAAAAGTCAAACTGGGTAAGAGCGTCTCCTCCCTCCGTACCCTGTCAGAGCCGCCAGCTGGTCTGCTCTCTTTGTCCTTGCTGATCTCAGGCATGTAGGTGTGGCTCAGCAGGTTGTACCACTTGGTGCATCTCTCCTCCAAACAGCTGACATCAGCCAGGCTGATCTGGGCTCCAGCCTGGAGGGAACAAGAAGGGGAGAGAAACAAGATGGAGTCTAAAGTCCTAAAGTCAGAGGCAACAGCGCTCAAACTGATAAACACAATATAATCTGTGCTGAGCAGTAAATAAATCAAATCATTCACTGCACATTCAGTGTAAAACCAGAACAGAGAGAGCTCGACTGACCAGACACTTCTCGTGGCCCGACTTGCTGGTGTTGCAGACGTCAACTCTTAGCGTCTTCTGCCGTAGAGCACTGTGGGATATCTGCATGCTGAACACCTCGTTGACCTCCACGACATCCTGAGGCAGGGAGCCACGTGTTCGGAAGAGGCAGCGGGTGGCCTCCACACAGGGCAGCACCACCACACGCACATACCTGCGAGGGAGACATGGGCACAAGTGTTCATGCTTTCAGGATAACGTACTGTATTTTCTTAGCTGTCCTCTTTTTCAATTTACTGAATGAATGTTGAAGCTGTGATGACATGTTTCAGTGTTATGTTTCTGGGTCTGAAGCCCTGCTAAGGTACCAGCTGCTGGTGGCGCTCCATGGTTATCATGACTAAACAGTCTGAAAATCTGATGTTTTCATCACCAAGATGATGAAGGAAGGCACTAAAACACGAGTCTTAAAAGTAAAACATGAGCCTCATGAGCACAACAGGAGTTTAATGTCGGGTGGCTGTTCTAACGGTGAGACGGACTGTTCTGTAACTAAGCAGTAACCGCTTGCTGTTTCTATGTTATTTTTGATCATATAAGCCACATGTGAAGTGACATCTAGTGAGCAGAAGAGAGAGGCCGTACATTTTCTGGTCAGCTGGCAGACAGAGGCTGCCACAGTTGGACAGCTGCATGACATAGATGGTGAAGTTCTGGACCTTGGACTCGTAGCGGAAGCCGAGCTGCACCTGAGAGGAGCCTGGCGCCAACCTCTCTTCGTAGGAGCCCAGGAGCTCTGCAGGCAGCCCCGACCTAGCAAAACACAAACAGAGATCTGACTGTAATATGTGAACAGACACTTCAAATGTTTATTTTGCAACAAATAGCCTACCAGGGACAGCTAATAGTGATGTGACGACGACATAAAGCTGTGGCAAAATGACAAGTTTTCTACTTAGAAATACTGAAAAATAAAGGAAATATCTGTTGTCAAATTTAGATTTTTTTATCACTTAAATCTTCACATGTAATTCTTAAAATGTAATTACATCTACTTATTGTTTTCTTGAGACAACTTTTTACAAAGTGGAACTGGATCAAGTATTCAAAAAGGTTTCACAGGACAGAGGATCCTGGATGTTCATGTTATAGATGTACTGTAGGTAAAAATCCTTTGTACCTGCGCTCTGATGGCTCGTACACTCCACTATCACCGGCTACTGACTCATCAGACACAGCGGAGGTCACACCGATCTTCTTTGGCCCGGCCCCCATCCCCCGCAGCTGAGGAGCTGAGTCTGAAGATGGCAGGAGGAGGAGGAGGAGGACAAAAACAAGGTGAAGACAGGTTTGTTTTCTGGGAAGTTCCGTTATTGGTTTTTTAAAAGCATAACATCTGTTGATATTCAATATTTTTTCTTATTGTCAGCAAACCCCATAAAAAGACCAAAACCAACAATGAATGCATGTGAGTCACAAAGGTTTATTGCTGTGACAGCTTCTGTTTTCAGTTGCCCTGAATTAGCAAAGATTGATTATTTTTGTTTCAGAAGCATTTTGGTTGTAGACCAGTGTAAGTAGCAAACAGTTGACGTCAGACATTTACATGCACTTAGGCTGAAGTCATTAAAACTGATTTTTAACCACTCCACCGATGTCATGTTAACAAACTCTCATTTTGCCAGGTGGGTTAGGACGTGTACTTTATGCATGACATTTTTCCAACAGGTGTTTACAGATTATTTCACTTATAATTCACTATAACACAATTATAATGGGTCAGAAGTTTACACACACACACACACACACACACACACACACACACACTCAGTTGACTGGGCCTTTAAACAGCTTGGAAGATTCCAGAAAATGATGTCATGGTTTTAGAAGCTTCTGATTGGCTAAGGAAATAAGTTTGGTGTAGAAGTAACGTGACCTCAGCTCAATCCAATACCTTTGATGAACCAAAAACAGACTGTGAGCCAGGCTGTATCACCCAACGTCAATTTGGAACCTCGCTAATGCACTTGTGTGTGAATTGGAGCCAATCCCTGCAGCCATGTTCCAAAACTGCAGTGTCCCATGAAAAACTACTGCTCTCTGTTAACCATGGCTGCACACAAGTTTGTTATGCTGCTAAAATAACTGGCATTTCTACTGTGAATATTAGTGTGTGAACATTTGGGGGGAAGAAGACACGGGATAGAGTAATAAAAAGCGATTACCTTTGACCTCCTCGCCGAGTGCGGTGTTGAGATTCTGCTTCTCCTGCTGCCGATGCTCCTGAGAGCCCAGACTCAGCTCTAGTTCTGCTAGCCTGCTGTGTAGCTCCAGATCCAGGCCTAACCCGCCAGATCCCATGTGCCCCGTGGACGTCTCCCCAGACAGGAAACTAGTGTCTGTCACCAGGGGCGAGCACGGCGGAGACAGCGACGAAAGAGACGAACGTGGAGATAAAGAACTCATAGAGTGAGGGGTTTCTGACAGTCTGAGGGCCTGGATCTGCGATGATCCGAACTCCACTCTGACACCACCTGCACCTCCTTCTCCTGTCTCCCCTCCCAGCCCTCCTGTTTTGCCTTCAGGCTTCCCAGCATCCCTTCCTGCACCGTCTGTCACCACTTCATGTTCATGTATGGTAGTGATAGAGCTGAAGGGGCGGTAGACTCCTTGGCCGCCCTCCTGCAGCAGGTTGTCCAGTTTGTTCTGGAAGTCCGGGTCAGCCAGCTCGGGCTGCTCCAGGTAGATATCGGTGAAGCTGAGTGAAGAGGTAGAGCCGAGGCTAGAGGTGGTGGCCAGTGAGCCACGGCTGGACGTCAGAGAGCCTCGACTGCTGCCGGACGAACAGGACAGGGTGCTGGCCGACAGGCTGGAGAGGAGAGGGAGACGAGAGCTATTATCTAACATAAAACTCTGTTTATTAACATACACCTACTGTTACTTAACTGTTGTTATTAATCTTTTGTGCTTATGAAAGCAGACCGATAGAAACATCCAACAAATTCAACATGGACTCACAAGTGGAACCAATCCGCACTAAATGGTTTTCATTGTCCAAATCATTAAACATTATAAATTATCACTACAAAGTCAAACTGCTTACAAAATCATTTCTGCGACATCATGCAGCAGCAATGTTAAACATGGTTGTGTCATGCTGTATTTCTTATTATGGTATGTTTGTGTATGCTATAAAGCACAGTGAATAACTTGGGTATAAAAATGTGCTATAGTCTGTACAATTTTTTTATTGTACTATATGCTTTAGAGGATTTTATGGGTTACTGGGATGTTTTTTTTTATTTTTCATATCTCCCAGCCCCGCGAGAGAGATGTCTGCTGACATAAATTGAACTCATCACCTTTTAAAAGCCTCAAGTCACACTGAAAAACTACAACACATTAAATACCTGATAAGAGGGACTAATTTCAGGAGGAGAGGGAGAGACAATTTATTCACCCTCTCTGTCTGTCCTCTTCTCTCTTATCGCCTCAGTCCTGTAATAATGTCTCCTCACACACTCCTGACTGTGTATGTCTCTATTAAAGCAGTGCAGCTCATTAGTGCAGACACAGTGGAGAAGCTGTCTGCTGCATCAGACTGAGAGGACAGACTGGATGAGAACAGATGCTCGAGAGAGAGAGGGGACGGAGAAGACTGACACTGTTCATGTCCACCTGTCACATTATCACTTTGAAACCAGGGCCGAACAATGTATGCCTCTTACAGCAGCCTTGCATCATCTCATAAAAATCTCTTTCCTGAGGACCTGTGTGTGCTGGTTTCGGCTGCTAAATTAGATTTGCCAAGACATCATAACTGGAATCAAAAAGACAAGGAGAGCAAAATGACTTTCATCTTCAGCAAATGTTTGGTCATTAAAGGTTATTACTTCAACAAGGCCACTCACTGTTTTAATCACACCCTTGATACTGTCCTGATGTATGGCATCGAAACTGAACACTTAATAGTTTTTCCCCAAAACCCTCTGCTGTCTGACAATTTTCTAATAACTTTTGAATTAATGGATTATACTCTATGTGGGAAATAGTTCCACTACAGTAGATGTCTATTTGACAATGCCGTTATCAAATTTAAGGAAATAATTCCATCATTATTTTCTTCAGTGCCATGTTCAACACAGTGGAGGGCGGCCACCTTAACTTTACTCCCACACAAATCGATAATCTTGTTGATAGTGCTGCAGCCTCCCTGCGTGTAATACACTTGATACCATTGCCCCTCTGAAAAAGAAGGTAGTGAAACAGAGGAAGCTAGCCCCGTGGTACAGCTCGCAGCTCCGCTCCCTAAAGCAGGCATGACAGGAGGTGGCGCTCCACTAAGTCAGAAGAGTTTTTCATAGCCTGGAAAGATAGTTTAATAACATATAAGAAAGCCCTTCATAGTGCCAGAACTGTATATTATTCATCACTCACAGAGGAAAATAAGAACAACCCCAGGTTCCTTTTCAGCACTGTAGCCAGGCTGACAAAGAGCCACAGTGCTGTTGAGCTTAACATTCCCTTAGATCTCAGAAGCAATGACTTCATGAGCTTCTTTACAAATAAAATCACAACTATTAGAGAAAAAATTAATCTGATAATTCCCACAACTCTCACAGATGTGCCATCTACTACAATGGCTTTAGAAACATCTGTCAGACCTCATTTATAGACTGTTTCTCTCACATTGATCTCTCAGAGCTGACCTCAACAATTGCTTCATCTAAATCATCAACATGTCTCCTGGACCCCATCCCGACCAGGCTGCTCAAAGACGTCTTGCCCCTAATCAACGTGTCCATATTAGTTCTGATCAACCTCTCTCTATTAACAGGTTATGTTCCACAGGCTTTTAAGGTTGCTGTAATTAAACCTCTACTCAAAAAGCCTACTCTGGACCCAGGTGTCCTAGCTAATTATAGAGCAATATCCAATCTCCCGTTTATTTCTAGAATCTATGAAAAACATATTACATAGCAGTTATGTGACCACCTGCACAAGAATGAGCCCCAGGTGGCTGGCCGCCAGCTGTTGACAGAGCTCCACTTATGCGTCACGTCTTTGGCCATTTTTTGATTAGATGTAGCAGGTGAAGTGAAGTGCTATCAACATGGCAACAGCCAGACTTACGCTTCAAAACCACTCTTCAGAAAACTAACGGGGGATGTGAGGAAGGGTTTGTTCATCTTTTATATACAGTCAATGGCTGTCACAGGAAACAGGCAGGAGATCTTTCTCTATGCACTACCAGTCAAAGGTTTCCCATTCAGCTCAAAGGGAAAGTGTGTCCAAACTCCACACTGCTTTGTGGAGTAGTGTACCGTATCATGTGACATTACTGTAGCAGTGGCTGCTGTGGTGCTTCTTGTTGCTGCTGTAATGCAGGAATTTACATCTTGAGATTAACAAATCTCTTTTCATTATCATCACTAAAAACAAGTATGACAGGTAGGGAAACACGTTCCCTTATTACGGACAGAAATGATGGACAATACTACAAAATAATAACCAAGATGTCATCAAGAGGTATTACTGCTTAGCATATTAACAGCAGAAATGAGATGACTGAACCTTTTGAGTTGAGTGTGTAGTGATGTGGCCAGTCGAACCGTCTCCTCCAGCTCCCTGACCAGCTTGTTCCTTTTGCAGTGAAGTCGCAGCCTGAAATAACAAAAACAAAAAAGTACAGTTTGTCAGTCAGACACAGATATGAAGTACCTTCTTGCCTAATCAGTTCGATCATCTTAAAAAAGGAAAATTAAATAGGAACCTTTAGTTGCTTTGCCTGCTGTTTCCAGACCGAGTCACCGTTAAGTTCAGGAAAATACAGAACAACACTGAACACCATCCTCCCCCCTCCTAATGCTGGAGGTGTAAGCACTTGCAAAAAAGTCAACAAATATGACAACAGCGGCACTGTGTTCGGGCATTGTGAGTAGCTGCTTGGTGTTCAGGTGACAGCGGTGTCACCTGTTGGTATGAGCTTAGTTTAGAGGAAACTGGGATTAGAGGTTTTAATGACAATCAGCACAAGTTCACACACCTCCACTTGTGACCACACTGTTCATTGTGCTAATTGCTACTTTTATCATTTACTATTACCACTGTTTCTGTTTATTTTGATATTATCAGTATCTCTCATTACACCAAGCTGTACTCAGTCTAGGTGGGCAGGTCGCGTATCACTGTATTGTCACAGGTTTCAGATATGTGTCAGTATATCCTGAGGGGATTCGAGTGGACGTGGAACCAGCTTTGTTCTTGTGGTGTGTCATCATCATCACAGGACGTATTTGGGCCTAACTATCTTCAGGTCTATACAACTTGGGTCTGGAAATCTTGACGTCTCTTTCACAATGCATCTCTGTTTTTTCAAAATTAATGTATGCCCATGAGGTTCGAGTCAAATTTTGGGGAAGTTACCTCTAGCCGTTTTCACATGGACTACGTCTGTGGAAACAGCGCCGGTCTTTGTCCGGAGTTTCCCTTTCACACGTAGCACACAACAGGAGATACTCCGTGTCAGATGTGTTCTCACCTGCTGGAAATACTCCATTTGCTTTATGCAAGGAGGTCAGTGTTTAGAGCAGAGTTCTTATTGGCCAGAACACCTGGAAAAATCTGTGCGAGTGTGTAGGGCCTTTAAAAACTCCACAACTAATGAAAGACTTTAAGACTCAAGGACCCTGACTTTAGGTTGGCAAATTTTACATTTTCAGGACTGCAGGCACTGAGTGAATATTTCTTGAGTCAATGAGTGAACAGTGTGTGACGGGGG